CCAAACCAAAGGAGTAGAGAAGAAGACAGATGTAGGGAGAGAAGAAGACAAGAGACAAGAAGACAAGAGACGAGAACATCCATTGAAGAAGAGAGACAAGGTGGATGAGGTAATATCTTTTATTGGACCAACTTCTGTTGATGAGAGAGACAAGCACTCAAGCTACACAGTGCTCTTCTTTGGGTCTGGGAAAGATCCTCTGAGTGTCACAGCTAAATACAAGATGGAACAGATTGTTTAGCATAGGTAGGTAGTAGTTAAACAATCTGTTCCACTTTGTATTTAGCTATGATGCTCAGAGTACCTTTCCCAGACACGAAGAAGAGCTCTGTGTAGCTTGAATGCTTGTCTCTCTCACCAACAGAAGTTGGTCCAATAAAAGATATTACCTCACCTACCTTGTGTTTCTAATATCCTGGGACCAACACAGCTACAACACTACATACTAAAAAAGAGAACAGGAGCAAATCAAGCTATACAATGGAAGGAAAGAGAAAGGTATAGTGAGGGAAAGAGGAACACGAGACAAAGGAAAACAAATAGGAAGCTGCAGACTACAATGTGACAGAAGAGATGAAAAGTGTTTAATTATATCATATCTCAGATTGAATGGGAGAGTGATGTTGGGGGTTTCCCAGGCTGTGGCAGAGTTAATTCACCCCTCTGAATGCTCTTAGGCCTTCCTGTCAGGGATGAGGCTTTGACTTCTGTACCAGTTTGACTCAGTTACTCTAGTTGAAAGGCAGAATTTTTGCCTTTAAAATCCACTGTTTTCTACCAAATGTCAGGGACAGTGAACTCTCTCTTAAGTCACTACTCAGGGGACCAACAATGTGTTGCTGTATAGAAGTAGTGTTCTGCTTCTCCTTTATTAAAAGTGTAGTTCTGAGCCTATTCCTGCTCCCATGGAGATTATTGGGAAAAGTCCCATTGATTTATATATTAACACAATTAGGCTTAGCAAGTTTGGAGTTATTTCTGATTCTTCTCTGCAGAGTGAATATGGCGTGTATGACACCTAACCCAACTGATCACTGTTTATATTCAGAGTCCCAACAGCATTCTTTATGGACAAAAATATTTATTGAATTACTTTTCACTCGTGTTAGCACTGCATAGGTAACACAGCTCTGGAGAGGGAGCTAGATTCAATTTTTTTTTTTAAATAATATATGGAGATATACCTATCTTGTAGAACTGGAAGGGACCTCGAAAGGTCATTGAGTTCAGCCCCCTGCCTTCACTAGCAGGACCAAGTACTGATTTTTGCCCCAGATCCCTAAGTGGCCCCCTCAAGGATTGAGCTCACAACCCTGGGTTTAGCAGGCCAATGCTCAAACCACTGAGCTATCCCTCCCACATATGACTTGCCTATAATTAATAGAATTATTAACTGAGTTCCAATTGCAGGACCAAATTTTTCCCTTGTTTCCCCTTCGCAGTCTGTTTAAAGGCTTTGCACAGGTGTAACTAAGGATAGATGATGGCCTGCTGAACTCATGTTAGTTTAGGCATGTCTATGCTACAAAATTAAGTTGACTTATGTTAGGTCAGCCTACAGCCACTGTGGTAATTAAATCTGCTCCTCCTGTCCACACTATGCTCCTTCTGTCAGTGTGAACCACGCCAGCAGCGCATGCACCAACTTAAGTGGAGCATTGTGGGGCAATGATAGCCAGAGCCCCAGTCCCGCTGACCCCCCCGGAGCTGTGAACCCCGCCACCTGGGGCAGCGGGATTCTGGCTGTCAGCCATGGGTCAGCAGGGCTCCAGCTACCAAAGGCAGCAATAAGCAATGTAAGCAACTCAGTGTCTACATGGACACTGCGTCAACCTAACTACATCGACCTAGTCACTACGCCTCTCCTGGAGGTGGAGTTATTAGGTTGGCCTAGTGCGTGAGTTAAATCAGAGGGAGGAGCATTGTAGTGTAGACACTTAATTAGGTTGACGTAAGTTGCCTTATGTGGACCTACTCTGAGGTGTAGAATGGGCCTGTGAAAGAAAGCCCTCTTAACACTGAGAGCCCAGGATGAGAAGGGCTAGCAGGTAGAAAAAACTCTCTACTTATAAACTGATTTTTTTATGTGAAATCAGTGAGGTTTTCAAAGGCACATATGGCCACCATAAATAAAGTCAGCTATAGCACATTGTTCTTTACTCAGTGCTACCCTTGTTGTTGGTTTTCATAACATGTATGAAGGGGGACATTATTATAGTCAACCATTTAAGTTGGTGTTGTGCAAGCTTATTTTAATGAAATATTTTGTATGATGCTGAGTGCATTGTCAGCATAAATAATAAAATGTTCTAAAGTAATGCACATTTTTACTTTAACAGCTATGCCATTATTATGTGGGAAGTAATGTCAAGAAAACAGCCCTTTGAAGGTGAGAATGTGTTCTTTAGTTTTCTTTTATAGCCTTATTTACATTTAGCTAAAGCCTCTGTACAGTAATCTGAACACAATTATTTTGGCAGAATTACAACATCCCTAATTATTGTCTGCAATTTTAATTTATCCTCCTATAGTAAACAATAACTATCAATAGTACATATATTTCTAATAAATGCCTGATATCTATTTTGACAGAAGTTATAAACCCCTTGCAGATTATGTATAGTGTGTCACAAGGAAAGCGACCAGACACTAGTGAAGAAACTTTATCAATGGACATACCCCACCGAGTGCTGATAGTAACATTAATGGCAAGTGGATGGGCACAAAATCCAGATGAAAGACCTTCTTTTTCAAGTGAGTTTACTTGCTTGGTATAGGTTAAGTGGAAAACCATATCCCCCAAAATACCTGTATGTTAATACAATGTTGAGATTGCTTAATTGCAGTCACAAAAAGGAAATGTAAACAACTGCATCCAAAACAGCTTTAACTCAGCCTTGTCAAATATCTTATATAATTTACGCTTTACATTTAACAGCATATACAGTAACATTAAGCTACTCATGCTAGAAGTCAAACAATAATAAAAAATGGAACATGTACAATGCAGCCAAGTTTATATTGTAGTTGGAATCTTCAATTTTGTATTTCCTGTCTTTTTGTGATTAATTGTGCAACCTTGACATGATTTATTTATTTGCACTTAATTTACTGTTTGTTTTTGAAGGGGTGGGAGTTTTAAGGAGGAAAATAATTAGAGGAAAACAGATAAAATAAGGCTAGTGGAACTTGTAAGCAGTCAGAGGTGTTTTGCTTGCTGAACTAACAGTGAGCCCTGGATTATAAATTCCTATAAAAAAACTGAACCAGCCTTTTACGATCAAACTTTTACCCTTTCATAAACAAATGTGTGTGTTCCCGGAACACACCTGTGTTCTGGGGGAAGCAGTGTGAAAACACTGTCCCACCTTCCCGAATGAGGGGCTGCTGTTGCACAAGCCCCTTCAGCCTGCTTCACATCAAGCTCATCAGCTCCATTGCACAGTAGTTCCACTGCCAGTGGGATTTCATGGCTGTGGAATTGGCAGCTGGCTCTGCCCCTAAGTGCACCCATAGAATTTTAAATGTCTATTATGCAGGCTCAGTACACAACCCCCAAAGTCTTAGTTTTTCATGCAAGACACTAGTGCCAACTTTCAGCATATTGCTACAGCAATGTTTAAAAAGTTGTGGCTAGATTTAAAAAAAAAAATGGGTCATTGAGTCCAGTCCCCTGCCTTCACTAGCAAGATGGATTACTGATTTTGCCCCAGATCCCTAAATGGCCCCCTCAAGGATTGAACTCACAACCCTGGGTTTAGCAGGCCAGTGGTCCAACCACTGAGCTATCCCTCCCCCCTACACTTCTCACCTTTAATGCTGTCAGGTTTTACTATGAAATCCTATCTTAATGCCTTTAGCTCTTTACAGTGAGTCCTGTAACCTGGAACACTGAATACAGAAGGCAAACATGATATGGAGGGGGGATGTCAGATTATCTTGTAAAAGCAGAAAAGTAGCAATCTTTAATTGTTCAA